TTGAATGCTTCTCACAAGAGTCCACAGATATGTTATTGATTCTGCGGCTAATTCAACTACTTTCTTCACTGTATCTCCCAGCGCTATGTATAACGGTGTCGCGTGATCGAGACCAGCCTGCGGCCGGCCCAAGCACATAAACGGTCTGCGCTGCATAGCCCAAACGAGTAGCGTGGGTTTATTCCGCTTTCGGTTCGTTTGTTCAGTGTAGCTCTTGTAAATCAGTCATGATGAGAATGCAAGGCTGTTCATTCCATTTTTGGAACTGAGAAACACCCTTTCTTTGACTGAATGTGCATTGCGATGACGTCACGGGACGCGTCTAAGCCCAAAATCTGTGGGAAATATGCAGCAATTACGAAAATTTGCGAGCTCTTGCGAAAATTGCAGAGTTTGCTTTGCGATAAATTCAGCGATCGCAGAATCCCAGAATCCTGGAGGGACTGACATATGAACTTTATAACAGCCAATTTCCTTTGTCTAAATATGAAAATGTGAGCAGATGTATTCACTGCTCCCTTTAAAACAGGTCTCTATTCAGAGATCAGCATGAAATTTGATACTGCACTGAAAAAGGAAGAATATAATTGCTACCTTAGCTTTTTGTACCTGATCTAACCCTTAAAAATAACTTAAGTTGGTGTAACTTAGTGTAGACCTTTATACACTGAACAAAATTATAAACGCAACACTATGGTTTTTGCCCCCATTTTTCATGAGCTTAACTCAAAGATCTAAGACTTTTTCTACGTACACAAAAGGCCTATTTCTCTCAAATATTGTTTTATTATTATTGTAGAAGCTCATCTGCATGCTCGTCGTCCTCATCGGGGTCTCGACCTGACTGCTCACATTCGATGGCGTCTGGCACTTTGGAGAGGTGTTCTCTTCACAGATGAATACCGGTTTTCACTGTACAGGGCAGAAGGCAGACAGCGTGTATGGCGTTGTGTGGGTGAGTGGTTTGCTGATGTCAACATTGTGGTTTGAGTGGCCCATGTTGGCGGTGGGGTTATGGTATGGGCAGGCATAAGTTATGGACAACGAACACAGGTGCATTTTATTGATGGCATTTTGAATGCACAGAGATACCGTGACGAGATCCTGAGGCCCATTGTTGTGCCATTACAGATTTGTGAACAATATTTGAGAAAAATAGGCCTTTTGTGTACATAGTCTTAGATCTTTGAGGTCAGCTCATGAAAAATGGGGGCAAAAACAAAAGTGTTGCGTTAATAATTTTGTTCAGTGTATTAGGTTACATAACGCAGTTGATTCTGTTGTATTAGATTAATTCATATGTACCACATGAAGTAAATTTTCGATCGTCTGACAAAACATGTTTAAAACTCTCTTTGTGGATTTGTTTTAGAGTAATTCCCTGAAAAAGGCCTCTAGATAAATGAACCGCCCCTTAGGGAAGTCACAGGCACTGCCATTGGCTAAGACAGCTCTAAGGACCCATGAGAATGAATCTTGTTGGTCTAATCTAATATAGTCAGGCTGATTCAGGCAATATTTGTTAACCACTTTTCCAGTTACCTGACTAACTATTTTCCAGTGTACAATGGGAAAGTGCTAGTCTGGCATAATATACAGTATTTACATAGGTGTATGAAATAAAATGTTCATATTGTTGTATTCTTTGCTGCTCTTAAGGCCAAATGCAATGCAAATCAACGGATACATGACAGATTCAGAAAACGGTTAAATTTTTTGACGATTACCATCTGACTTTCGAGGAACAACATCTCATCATCTCTATCCAGAAACCTAAGCTTGTGGAGGTATCCGTTATCACGGCAGATTTAATTATATCATTAATTCCAAGTCAAGCGAGATAAGCTGATTCAATGCAAAAATCACTATTAAAGATGAATGTTGAGAGAATGCACACAAGTCCAAGTAGATGTAATAACACACTTGAATATGAAAGCTCGTTATCGGTGTACGCTTGGAAGAGCAGGGAAGGACTGGGCATTATGGCCGAACATCTGTAGAAGACATTGATTTTACAAGGCTCTTAAGTGAGGCAAATGTTTTCAGTGCATCGATTAAAACAGCAGACGACATGACGGGAGATAAAACCACAAAGTAGCCTTGAAAGTGTGAAGCCAAATTGTTATACGATGATAATTGCCCATCCTGAAGTGTGTCTAATGAGTGTGATAGGAGTGGATTAAGTAAGGGAAAGCACTGGCAGAGACAAATAATCCCAGTGCCATATGATTTCCACATATATGGCTTCTAGATAGGCAGCTCCCTTTAGCTAATGAGAAATCAAACTGATCCCAGTGCAGTTGAGAAACATAAACTTTGACAGATATAAGAATAGTGAAAAGACTTGTGGGAACTGTGTTAATAAAAACAGTCATCATCATAATAATAGCTTGTATCGCTGCAACAACAGGCTTTATTGCTTACATCGTTTTTAAAGGGATACTTCACCCCAAAATTAAAATGCTGTTATTATTTACTCACCTTCACATTGTTCCAAACCAGAAAGAGAAATTTTGAGGAATCTGCCAGATGCTTATTTACATGTAATTACAAAAACTAAAAAAGCACCGTAAAATGATCTTAAAAATAGTCTACTTGATTTCTTGCACTATTTTCCAAGTATTCTCAAGTCATACAAGTGCTTTTTAAGAGTAACCGATTGGTTATGTTTGGATCAACCGATTCATTGAAAAGATACACCTGTAACAAATCATTTCTTCTCTCATGAAGGCAGGTGTCAAGATTTTATAACCACTCTGCATTTTGTTCCTCACAAAATTGCCATCTTCTGGCTCCAAAACACTTTGAGAATAACAGCCTTCGAGATGTGCGGATTACTTTCATGACACATTTATTACAGTTCACAGGCTTGACATTTTAAATCCCCATTCACTGTCATTTGATGGAAACTACATTCTTCGAAATTTCGGCTTTTGTGTTCCACAGGGAAATAATAGTCATACAGGTTTAAAACAACAACATGAAGTTAACTGAATTTTACTTTGGGTGAACTAGTTCTTTAATAAACAACACTTCGCAGCGTTCAGTGACACTGCCTTCTTCGCAAGGGTCTAAAAGTAACACTCCAGTTGATTTCTGCAGCGGCTTCGTGTTAACTTGCCTTTCTCCCCACATAAACATATGGACACGCTACTGCTGCTGTGATTCCTGCTCAATGTCTGACTAACATTCCGGGCATTTACGCTGCACCACTTCAACAGTCCTGATACAAACCATTTATTAATCATCTCGTCTGGCGTATTTGTTCGTCAAACAGATTCGTTTGCGATATATGTTGTGGATTCGCTGAAAGTACGTTAGGCTTCCTATATGTGGTACTGCTATTCTCATTCGCAATCTCTTTTTAGTACATAAGCACATTATACAGCGTGCAGTGATCGTGATATCCACAGAATGACTGTCTGAGCAGAGATCACGGCGCGAAAACACAATGCGCTCGGGCTGCAACGGTGACCGTTATTTTTACCGTTCAGCAGTCGAGGCAGCTAGCAACAGGCCGGGATGGAGCGAACTCGCCGGCGACAAAAACGTCGTTTTCCTTAATATAATGCGGTCGGTGTGTAACGGCGACACACTTACCTTGATTTGGCACTGGCGTACTAGTATCTCCACAGCGCGTATGTTTTAACGAAAGGGATGCTTCGCGAATCGTGGCGGAAACAGGAACTGGGGAGACTGACTGACTGCTGCTGTCTGAATTCTCACTGCTGGGCTCTTGAGGAGGCTGCTCGGCTGTCGCTGGGCTGCACTGCGCATGCGTGTGTCAGATCACCAAGATACAAGTGCTCCTCGGCACCGCTTGCAGTTTCTTGGATCTCATTATTCATGGTTTTGCCAGCGTAATGCGACTGATTTTCTCCCTACAAATGTGACAAACAGTCATTTCACTAATGAGACCGCAGATAAAGCAATTTAAAGCGACCGATCGTGTGGGATTGTATAAAAAAAAAGAATAATAAAAAAGCCCACTATTATGCAAATGTAAGACACTCTCGGGGTTGTACAGATTAATATATATATTACATTTCTAATAAACGTCCTGTCCAACATAAGGCTCGGCAAATCTTACGTTCAGTGTTTCCATTCTGAACATATTACGGATCTCATTATTCATGGTTTTGCCAGCGTAATGCGACTGATTTTCTCCCTACAAATGTGACAAACAGTCATTTCACTAATGAGACCGCAGATAAAGCAATTTAAAGCGACCGATCGTGTGGGATTGTATAAAAAAAAAGAATAATAAAAAAGCCCACTATTATGCAAATGTAAGACACTCTCGGGGTTGTACAGATTAATATATATTACATTTCTAATAAAGGTCCTGTCCAACATAAGGCTCGGCAAATCTTACGTTCAGTGTTTCCATTCTGAACATATTATATTGTACTAGACACTGAATTCCTCTTTGCAGTATTTTTACTGTTTATATAGCATTTGTATACTTTTACACACATGCATATTTCCATTTAGATACTTTGTATTTTGCTCTCAATATTTGATTTTTAATAAAGTTTGACTTGTTTTGTGATCATCTGCAATTGTATAAGTTTACTTATTGATGCAAAATACTATCATTTTAACATATAAAAGGAAACAATGAGTTTGTCAGGCCAGTGTTATAAGACCTCATTTGGTCGGAAGAAGCCCATTTCTACCACATAAGAAAAAAAAAACACTCATGCGGCTCGGCAAATCTTACGTTCAGTGTTTCCATTCTGAACATATTACATTGTACTAGACACTGAATTCCTCTTTGCAGTATTTTTACTGTTTATATAGCATTTGTATACTTTTACACACATGCATATTTCCATTTAGATACTTTGTATTTTGCTCTCAATATTTGATTTTTAATAAAGTTTGACTTGTTTTGTGATCATCTGCAATTGTATAAGTTTACTTATTGATGCAAAATACTATAATTTTAACATATAAAAGGAAACAATGAGTTTGTCAGGCCAGTGTTATAAGACCTCATTTGGTCGGAAGAAGCCCATTTCTACCACATAAGAAAAAAAAACACTCATGCTTTGAAAACCATCATTACTGTATGACATACAAAGTCATAATTATGAGATAAAAAGTAGCAATTATGAGATACAATTTCATAGTTATGAGATAAATGTCAAAAGTATGAGATACTAAGGTAATTATGAGTTAAAAGGTTGAATTTTTGTCAGAATTATCTCATAATTCTTTTTTGTCCCTTATGAAAATGAACCATAGTTGTATTATGGTAAAAGTGTAGAAGCTAACCAAGGTATTTACAAGTAATTACAAGGTAATGGTGACTAAATTATTAATTAATTACAAGGTAGGGTGACTAAAAAGAGGTGTAAACGCTCCATAAAAGTAGTCTACTTGATTTATTGCACTATATCCCAAGTATTCTCAAGTCATACAATTGCTTTTTGGATCAACTGATTCATTAAAAAGATCTCATGGTGAGCTAAGGCGGGTGTCAAGATCTTCTGTAAATAACCACTCAAATTCCATTTTGCTCCTCGCAAAAGTGCCATCTTTTAGCACAAAAACTCTTTGAAAATAGCTTGCGAGATATGCAGACTACTTTTATTACACATTTATTACAGTTCACAGGCTTGACATTTTCAATCCCCATTCAGTCATTCGAGGGAAACTACATTCTTCGAAATTTCTGCTTTTGTGTTCCATAGAGAGAGAAAAGGCACAGTCATACAGGTTTAAAACAACAACACGAAGTTACCTGAATTTTATTTGGGGTGAACTGCTTCTTTAAACATCATTTCGCAGTGTTCCGTAACTCGCTGCCTTCTTCACAGGGTTCTAAAAGTAAACACTGCAGCGACTTCGTGTTACCTTGCCTTTCTCCTTTCTACCCACATAAACATGGACACGCTACTGCTGTTGTTATTCCTGCTAAATGCCTGACTTACATTACGGGCATTTACGCTGCACCTCTTCAACAGTCCTGATACAAATCATTTATTACTAATCTCGTCTGGTGTATTTGTTTACAGATTCGTTTGCGCTGTATGGTGTAGATTCGCAGAAAGTAGGCTTCCTATATTTGGCACTGCTATTCTCATTCGCAATCGCCTTCATCTCTTTCTAGTACATAAAGACATTATACAGTGTGCCGTGATCGTGATACACACAGAATGACTGTCTGACCAGAGCACATTTCTCTATCACGGCGCGAAAACACAATGCGCTTGAGCTGCAAAGCTGACCGTTATTTTTGCCGTTCAGCAGTCGAGGCAGCTAGCAACAGGCCGGGATGGAGCGAACTCGCCGGCGACAAAAACGTCGTTTTCCTTAATATAATGCGGTCGGTGTGTAACGGCGACACACTTACCTTGATTTGGCACTGGCGTACTAGTATCTCCACAGCGCGTATGTTTTAACGAAAGGGATGCTTCGCGAATCGTGGCGGAAACAGGAACTGGGGAGACTGACTGACTGCTGCTGTCTGAATTCTCACTGCTGGGCTCTTGAGGAGGCTGCTCGGCTGTCGCTGGGCTGCACTGCGCATGCGTGTGTCAGATCACCAAGATACAAGTGCTCCTCGGCACCGCTTGCAGTTTCTTGGATCTCATTATTCATGGTTTTGCCAGCGTAATGCGACTGATTTTCTCCCTACAAATGTGACAAACAGTCATTTCACTAATGAGACCGCAGATAAAGCAATTTAAAGCGACCGATCGTGTGGGATTGTATAAAAAAAATGAATAATAAAAAAGCCCACTATTATGCAAATGTAAGACACTCTCGGGGTTGTACAGATTAATATATATTACATTTCTAATAAAGGTCCTGTCCAACATAAGGCTCGGCAAATCTTACGTTCAGTGTTTCCATTCTGAACATATTATATTGTACTAGACACTGAATTCCTCTTTGCAGTATTTTTACTGTTTATATAGCATTTGTATACTTTTACACACATGCATATTTCCATTTAGATACTTTGTATTTTGCTCTCAATATTTGATTTTTAATAAAGTTTGACTTGTTTTGTGATCATCTGCAATTGTATAAGTTTACTTATTGATGCAAAATACTATCATTTTAACATATAAAAGGAAACAATGAGTTTGTCAGGCCAGTGTTATAAGACCTCATTTGGTCGGAAGAAGCCCATTTCTACCACATAAGAAAAAAAAAACACTCATGCTTTGAAAACCATCATTACTGTATGACATACAAAGTCATAATTATGAGATAAAAAGTAGCAATTATGAGATACAATTTCATAGTTATGAGATAAATGTCAAAAGTATGAGATACTAAGGTAATTATGAGTTAAAAGGTTGAATTTTTGTCAGAATTATCTCATAATTCTTTCTTGTCCCTTATGAAAATGAACCATAGTTGTATTATGGTAAAAGTGTAGAAGCTAACCAAGGTTTTTTTTTTTTTTTTTTTTTTTTGTAAGGATTGATTACCATTTGTATAACCACAGTTGTATTACAAATACCATGGTTAAAAGTATGGCCAAAATCATGGTTAATTTTTTGTAAAGGGTGTCAAAAAAAGCATTTTTTTCCGGAAATGGGTTACATATTGGACTGTCATTAACGGCATGTAGAAGATAGCTGATGGTTTGGATTGTAGTCATTTGTCTCTCTCTCTCTCTCTCTCTCTCTCTCTCTCTCTCTCTCTCACACACACACACACACACACACACACACTAAATCGAGGGCAGTATGACTGTAATCATTGTTGCATCACTCCCACCCAGTGGTCTGACTGTGGAATCACACCATGAACCTCTCACTGGGTTTCGCCTACATTATTTTCAAGTATTAAAATGGAGGTTTAAATCTAGAGCCAAATAATACGGAATGACTTTTGTATCAAATATAAAGACCTTATATATATATATATAACCGTGTTAACCTTGTCATATTATTTAGGTGTCCACAGAGAGTAAGAGAATAGATCAAGAAATAGCATGCTGTTTAAAATATTGTGAATATAAAAAAAAAGTATATAATAATAATGATAATAATATAATCTCAAAATATTAAGAACATTAAATTAAGTAATTGGTTGATTGATTATTTATGTTTCTTTATCCTCGGTCGCTCTCACGGTTCTCCTGGCATTTTCCCATTTTCTTTTCCCGTATGGCAAGGCGAATTCATCAGTTAAAGAAGTATACAATATTGGAAGATGTAGGAAAGATGAGGTGATTTTAAATTGATTACAATTTGGACACACAGGACTAAATGCATCACTATACAAAATAGGTAAACATATTACAGGTAAATGTGCTTTTTGTGGTGTAATAGAAACCGTTGAACATGTAATATTAAAACGTCGGAAATACAATATAGAGAGAATTAAAATGATAAAGAACGAGGGGTCAGAGGCGTGCGGATCCATTTGCAGCTTTTATTAGAATCAATGGCAGAGTCAAACAGGCAGTAATCAATCATCAGCGTCAGGAACAACAGGGACAATCCAGGAGAGTAAACAGTAACAGACAGAGGGTCAGGGCAGGCGGCAGAGAATCACACTAGTAAGAACAGTCCAAGGTAATACACAAGAGATCAAAAGACAGGGGATAAACGCTCAGAAATGTAGCCGTGGCAAAACAAGACTTCGCGAAAACTAAGTGTCTGGAAGCTGCTTAAATGGGGAAGCTAAGGGGAAACAACTGTGCCAGTAATCAGTCACAGGTACGGGGTGTATGGGAAATGGAGTCCAAGAACGCTAGTACTCAGGAGAGGGTGCTCTCCGGA